TAGTGTCTAATGGAACCCAGAAGACTTACACTAGCGGCTCCGATTTAGATTAGCAGTCAGAGTCAATATTGAATATGTGTATATCCCGGAACATTATATTTCAGAAGTCCTTATATAGTAGCTACACGATTCACCTGACGGTGTGTGGTTACCACTACTCATGTTCGTCAGCAACGTCTGTTAGGGGCAGAGCCAGCCCTATGCCAACCGCTAAATGTCGATTTTCATGGTTGTAATTTTATATGAAATAATTGCTTAATTGGGTTAACGAGCTCACAGCCCACCTGGTGTTACGTGGTTACTGGAGTCCATAGACAACTACAACGTAAATGCGCCACTTATCTTTAGATATAAGTTCTAAGGTCTCAGTATAGTTACAACGGCTGTCCTACCCTTCAAACTGAAATGCATTACTGCTGCACGGCATAAATAGGCGGGGTGGTGGTACTTACCCGTGCGGACTCACAAATGGTCCTTCTATCTTGAGGCAATTGAATAAGCGCCGTTTATATGTATTCATTATCATCACACATTTATCTTATTCGTATAAGATGAATGCTACAAGAGGAAAACACTTCTATGTTGTAAACATAAATGATTTGCCTTTATTTTGGGTCTAAATTAAAGTACACAACGCCCACCAGTCTGTGCCGTTAGGTAATTAGATTTGCTTGGAACTCAAACATGTATGTGCGTCGTTGTATTTATATATGCCTAATTCGCATGTCTATACGAAAGAAAGAAAGAAAGAAAGAAAGAAAGAAATCATTTATTCGCCGAGCATAGTGAAAATGAGTTTATTACATAAGTTAAGTATGTATGAACATATGTATGTATATATTTATATATTATTATGTAAGTATGTATATACTTTTTGTAACTTAATACAAATTTCATTGCACCTACCACTATCCACTCTGCACTACCTTTGGTTGACTGGTAGAGAATGCCTTAGGCATTAAGTCCGCCAATGTAAATTTTACATGAAGTGTAATAAATAAATAAATAAATAAATAAATAAATAAATAAATAAATAAAAGCAGCGTGTATGCTTTGTCATTATTTGACATGCGAATTTTAGTGCATTGCAAGATATTATAATATTATATAATTTACCATTCATTCATCCATAATTGAACTAATAATTAAAAATTCTATTTATTTTCAATGTCGTCCCTAAGAAAATTATTTATGTGATAATAATGTCCACTAATAAGGTTCTCTTTTAGTTTTTTCTTAAAATGAAAATCGTCTAAGTCTCTTAATTTCTTTGGTAGTTTATTAAATATCCTAACACTCATACCTAGTTTACTATTATTCTTTATATATAAACAGAATAAGATAAACAGAATTATAACAGTATGACCCGGGGACCACTAGTATAATTAATCTATCCATCTAAGCAATCAAAATAAAATAAAAATAATAATTATCAAAGCTAAATATTTTCTCAACCCTAGTAAGCTGTCATGTCAGGGAACTAGATTATTTAACAGAAAGGCCTACGTACCTATTTTACCTAATAATTGTCTACTTTAATAGTTTTTCTATTTTTCATTCATAAATGTTTGCTACAATACAAGGATGTCATTATACTTGAGTAATTAATGGCCTCAAAAAATGTCAAGTTGGCAAAAAACATATGTTATTAATTTCTAATCTTCTAATATTTTTGTCTTTCCGTGAATTAGGTAGAAATGTAGGTACATTCTGCGTAGTCTACTCTTTAATTTTACTGAAATAGGGACTGCACATCAGTGAAAATAAAAATATTTTATTTTATTTTTTGATGTATGTTATACAGCGTTACTGCGGCTCTTGAATATTGTGAATGGACTCGTTATAAGGCCCCACTTAACCTCCTTTCGGCTTTACGGGTAGTTTTGTAACACCCTGTATATTCGTATGCAATCACCATGATTTCGAAATAGTAAATCGAGATCCTTATTTAAGGATGCAACGTTCGGCAATGTCTGATATTCGTAGTTGTATTTCCGAAGATATTTAATAAGGTTTCGAAGTCGTCGGGACATACAGGAACAATTATTTTTTAAGCTTTTGGCTCAACCTTAAGAGGATTTGCTAAAACACTAGCCCTAACAAGAGCAGTGCTTCACAGAATCTACTACCGGATCGGAATCGCGAAGTTCCGGCGAGAAACTCATTGGACCAAAAGAATACGACGCCCGGTGTGCATATATTAAGGGACTACGATGGTATTGGACTGCAAATACCTTTTTTTTAAAGGAAACGTGCTTGACCCGTCAAAAATCTATAATTTTGCGTAATACTTGGTGGTAAGGCGAATTTTTAAGCGACGGTAATACACACACCGTTTGGTACCAATGTTGTATCAATTTCTGCCGCGAATAAGTCCAGTTTCAAGGGTGAAGCGCCACAAATAACAGTTCTCCTACATTTCAAACCCGAATTTGTGAGTGCCTAATGGCAAAAATACGTAGAATCGTGGTACTTGCCCGTGCTCAACAAAATAAGTAAGAATAACATGAAGAATTCAATAAAGGGCTGTCTGGCCATTTTTACTTTACCAGAAAACACCCTATCGTAAAATTAATATGCAATGGATTTAGGCAGCGCGTGGTGAAAACCTATTTAAGCACACACGGGTTTCCTGCATCGGCGTATTGGCACGTTTCGCCCCATCGATCTAATTATTCGTAAGCACGTAACTCAAATGTTTGATTTCAAACGATATTTCTCGTCGGAATTATACAATATTATATCGTTTAATTAGTGAAGCTGAGAAGTGCGCGTTTGGGATGGTATGGACATGTGATGAGACGAAATGAAAATGAGGTTGGTAAGAGAATGTTAACTATGAATGTGGAAGGATATAGAGGAAGAGGTCGATCTAAGAAGAAATGGATGGATTGCGTGAAAGACGATATGGGTAAGTAGGGAGTGAGCGAAGAAATGGTATATGATAGAAGAGTGTGGAAGGAGAAAACATGTTGGGCCGACCTCAGATGACTGGGAGAAGGGCAAGATAATGATGATCATGATGATCGTTTAACCAGGGAAAATGCTTTTGACGAGCTATAGACAGACGGTGATGTGAAGAAGGAGTGTCATAAATACCTTAAATGGTCTGTCTGAAAGAGGATAGACGAAATATGGCTGTGAGTGCAGAGATGAGGTATAATAAGCCTGAATAAAAGAAAGATGCGACGCTGCGCCAGTCCCATATTGTGGCAGGATAAGGATAAGGGCAGGAACAAAAAAAAACTCGACGAGCTTCGTTTATTGGTCTTAAGACTTTAAAAATAACAAATCGTAATAGCATGACAGCCTTAGTCGTAGTTTTGAGCAGTCGTATATTTGGGAAAATAGCGGTTTTGCATGTTTTTGTCGGGATTTTTTTTTTAAACCCTTTATTATTATCCTATTAAGCTATTAAATTGTGACTATGATTTTTTTTTTTTTTAACAATCACGCCACGTTAACTGGTCCCGTTGTAATTTCGTAAAGAACTTGTGTTACAGGTACCAGATAACGAATAAATGTAATATTTTTATTATACACATACATATATTTAATATACATCCATAACCCTGGAAAAGACATTTTATATTTATCATACAAATATCCTCCCTTGGCGGGATTCGAACCCGCGACCCCCTTGTGTAGTGACTATATCACTTACCACTACACCAGACGGCCGTTAGTCGTCGAATCATAGTCACGGAGGCACGTCATATGCAGTATAGGCAATTTTAACCCTTTACATTCGATAGGTGATTTTCGCTCACCGTTTGGTTTGGTGCGGAAATTCGCTGTGCAAGGGTAAATTCAGAAATGCGTTGTGTCAATTATATTTCTTTGTTTGCTGATTGACATCTTGTGTATGTTTCTAATGTCGTTCTTTTTGGCATTAAAGCATGTGCAAAGGGTGATTATAACACACTCGAAATTTCTATGTATTTATTAGCGGACCCGACAGACGTCCTGCATGCAAAAAATTAATGAAATGAATGACTGCATACCCAAAAATTCATTCAATTCGATCCAGCCGTTTATTTGTAGTATAAATAAATAACCTAGATACCGACTGCAGCGCTATCTGCCGGGCTGATTTGTGAATCTAAACCATTCAGGGCGCCACCCAAACGTAAAGAAAAAGATTTTTTCAAATCGGTCCAATCGTTTAGGAGGAGTTCAGTGTGACATACACACGTACAGTACAATCTGTACTTCTGTACTATATAATATAATATAATAATATTATAAAGAGAAAAGATTTGTTTGTTTGTTTGTATTTATTGAATAGGCTCCGAAACTACTGAACCGAATTGAAAAATTCCTTCACTGTTTGGAAGCTACACTATTCCCGAGTGACATAGGCTATAATATTTTTTTTAAAACATAAGGGATCTTTACTAAAACTCCAATAATGTAACCCAAGGTGTAAAAAAAATACCTAAAATATTGTTTACATCGCGTGCCCTGCGAAAACTATTGATGATAGAATAAAATACATTATGTACAACGACTTTGTAGAACACATTATTAATTACAAAAAGTGTCGCGACAGCATAATATGTCTAACTATTGTAGTTATGGCGCAATAAGTGCTACTTTTAAAAAATAATAAAACAACGTCAAAATGAAATATCGTTGAAATTTTTGTTAAAGGCCCGAGCGGAGCCGGACCGATCCGCTAGTTATACATGAGTCGTCTATTATCAAAGGTGGCAATCTGTGCATTTGGACAAAAAAATGTTATTGATATGTCAATACAGATTGATTTGAATATAATCGTCTCCTTCAAAGAATACGGTTCAAAACCTGCATTAAATAAAGGTTAATACTTAACCTGTTATTTATCTAAGATGTCGTTCAGAAGAGTTTTGTGACTGCCAATGGAATACAAAGTCAATAATTCGTTTTTCTGATTTACCAATAATTGTACAAAAGTCACATTGCACAAAGTCACATATATAACAATTATGTAAACTAAAAGCAGTCCCGTTTGTTCACAGCACTCTGGTGCCTTGGAAGATATTCCGCGAAGAACTGAACAACGTGCATCCGATATCCTCGGGGCTGGAGACGATGGCGTTGAAGACAACCATAGATCTGACCTGTAACGATTTCATATCGAACTTTGAATTTGACGTTTTCACGAGGTACGTACGTTCGTTTTGAATTGTCTCTTTTTTATTATTATAATATTAATACGTGAAGCAAAAACTTTGTATCCCTTTTAACGAAAATTGCGCGGACGGAGGAGTATGAAATTTTCCACACTTATAGAGAATATAGAGAATAAGTGCACAATGCTAATATTTTTTTAAAATAACGCATAAAAGATACATTAAATCAATAAAGAAAACATTACACACACTACATACCATGTATTTGACGCACACATGCATGCATACTATTTATTGTCAAACTTTTGTTCTTGACGTCTGTTGTCAAATTGAGAACAGATTGAATATTGCTTGTCTTTATTAATATTTTTTTATAGAGTAGCCTTGGTGAAATTTGTGATTATAGAAGTATAAAATACAATCATATTAGTGTACAAACTTACAATTCTAATTAATTATAGTCGAATTTCGACTACTGCGGGACCGCTAGTTATTATAATTCTGTAGACAAACGTTTAGCTATTGCTCATAAGCCAAGCTAACGTGGAAACTGTAGTCCAAGCCTATTGAGACCAAAGTCTAAATACAATAACATTGGTATTTTGGGAAGGCTTAGACGACAAAGGGAAGATCTTCCACCGAGCGGGTGATATTTTCTCGATAGACCGACGGTCCGAATGTTGTTGTTCGGAGCTTGTATATAATATGCTAGCTTATCTTGAAAATGTCGTAAGCGAGATTCAGGCATCTGCCATATATCTTGCGTTGTATGATGGCTACCCGCCACAGGTATTACCACTATTCTACCCTTCAAAACTGAACGCAAGAGTGCTGTACTGGAATATGTTGCCGAGAACCTAGGTAGGCCGTGACTATACAAAATAAATAACACGTTATAATGTTGTTTATATTTATATGCATGCATATTATATATGCAAGACTAGAGGCAATTGAATATAATGTGTCTACATGTGCCATGTAACATTGCGGGAAAGGGATAGCGCATCTCATTCCGTCACAACGACTTAATCCCTAACAATTTATATATTTACTAGCGGTACTCGCCCGCTTCGCTGGGCATTTAAAATTAACATTATTATTTATTGTCATTATTATTAGGAAGTACAACACTCATATAAATTTACAATGACGATTTTCTCTTCTGTATGTATGTTGTTTAAAAACTAAATAGAACTAACAATTTATTTCATTACTATTTTTTTTTCATCCCCCTGATTCTGGTGAAGTTTATAAAACTACTAGCTGTATCCCTCCGCTTCACTGGGCATTTAAAATTAACATTATTATTTCTCACCCCCACAAAGATTCTCATCATTAGCGCCCCCACAACTGGTGTAGGGAGTCCAACACTCATATAAATATTAGCCTATCCATTAAGTACATGTATTTTCTACACGGATACCAAGTTTCAAGTCAATCCGATGCATGGATCGGTAGTTATAACGGAACATCCGTAAAAACCACTATAGATTTATATATTAGTATAGATATAATTGCGTTAAGGTATTTTTCTTGGGAGTATTATTTAAATACGCCCCCCGTCATATCTGGCCTGCGTTTGATGGACGCAAATGTACCGTTAAAATACAATGAAAACTTTCTTTTTCAGGCTTTTCCAGCCCTGGAGTACGCTGTTACGAAACTGGCAGCTACTTGCCGTGACGCATCCGGGTTACGTCGCCTTCCTTACGTACGACGAAGTCAAAGCGAGACTGCAGAAGTACATACACAAAGCCGGGAGCTACGTCTTCAGGTGAGTCTAAATGACGTCATATTGTTTCGTGACGTTTGCGAGCTGAAATCAGGTTTCTTAACTGTTTGTGTTTGTAATGATGTCGAAATTTTTGGCCCTACTTATATAGCGTTCGAATACTTGACAATTTTTTCCCCTACCTATTCGCCGGCTATTCCAGCTACGTCCCGGACGAGTAGGTGAGCTCACGGGCTCAACCTGAGAGAATTTGCTAACACTAGCCCTAGCAAGAGCAGTGCTTCGCAGAATCTACCACTGGATCGGAATCGCGACCCACTGAGATGATCCGGCGAGAAACTCAGTGGACTATACAGTTATCTTGGTCATGAACAACTGAAGACTAATTCTTCGATATTGGAATATTTTGCTGACTACCGTCTAATAGCAAAATTGAGGCCGTCAGCCCAAAAGTGGCCGAAGCTTACCATAGCTAGTATGGAGGCAATTAGGTTTGAATTTTCATGAATTTGAATTTGAGTAAGGAAAAAAGCAATTCGCGCAAAAATAACAAAAACAATTTACAAAGCTATCTGTTGTCTATGGGTAAAACTATGGTTAAGCCGGTTTTGCATCAAAATTTTTTATATTTTAAATAAATTCCAATATATATACGTCAAATAAGCTTGAATGTAAAAAAAATTGTGGGTTAGATCACTTTTGCTCTGATAGCCTCAATTATGGTCTTCGAAACGTTAATGGGTGTCCAAATGAATGAATACCGAAAATTGATGTAGTTTAAGAGCTTACGGGCTTTACACAAAACCGAAAGGGTAGTTATCTAGTCTAGAGCCAGAATAATTTTGGAGGAAGTAGTCGCCCAAAACACGTCACGGATCCTCCCGATCCATTAACCGTGCTTTTAGGTACCACAAGCACTGGTCACCGTCCTCGCCGACCCGTCGCTTGCGACGAAGGGCTCGACGAACGAATTAACCCATAGACACAGCCCACTGAGTTTCTCGCCGGGTCTTCTCAGTGGGCCGCGTTTCCGATCCGGTGGTAGATTCTGCAAAGCATTGCTCTTGCTGGGGTCAGTGTTAGCAACACTCCGGTTTTAGCCCCGTGAGCTCACCTACACACGTTAGGGCGAAGCTGAAATAGCCTCTCAAGGCTCTCAAGGCTATCAACATAGGTAGGGGAAAAAAAGATGTATATACATCGGGTCTGGAACTAAAAGCGGACTACACTTTCAGATTATCGTGCACAAGATTAGGGCAATGGGCCATAGGTTACGTGACAGCCGACGGTGAGATCCTACAGACGATACCTCAGAACAAGAGTTTGGTGCAGGCGCTCTTAGACGGGTATCGGGAAGGATTGTAAGTGTTTCTTTTTTTATTATTATATTTAATTTTGAAATGTATCACAAATTACAAGTTTTATAATAACTAATTAAAGGTTATAAAAAGGTATGTAAATGTAACTTGGCGAACCTATAAATTGAATACGATATACATGTTTTAACAAATGTTGATGTACATTGCTGACTTCTTTAGACTTCTAAAGACATTGGAAGCGGCCTAAACTTATCGGGGGTTTAAAAAGAGGTGCCGTTCACGAAGGGTTGTGTACTAATTGAATAAAGACAGAAGATAGTAATAACCAAGTTGTTTGGTTAGCATAAAAAAATCACTTTAGTAACTTCATATTTTAAATTGTGTACAAATTATGTGTTTGTTACTAAGATGGTATCTTAACATACTCGTTAAATGTCAACGTTAACTATTTGTTTGCACGAACAAAAAGACAGACAGAATATGATTCCCAAAAACACCTGGTTCTCGTGTTCTTTAACCTAATAATTACCATTTTTTATTGCTTAGATGGCCACCCAAGGCCCATCTGGTGTGGTTACCGGAGCCCATAGACATCTACAACGTAAATGCCGCCACCCACCTTGAGACAGGAGCTCTAAGGTCTCATTTGTACCAGTACAACGGCTGCCCCGCCCTTCAAACCGAAACGCATAACTGCTTCACGACAGAAATAGGCGGGGTGGTGGTACCTACCCGCGCGGACTCAAGACGTCCTACCACCGTTTTACCTGCCTTCTTTTCAGTTTTTGATTACTCCTCCTAAATATGCACTGGATTCTACTGCTTCATTATAAGAGAATCCTAACTCAATTGTCTCTCTTGGATCCTTTACAGCTACTTATATCCTGACGGTCGAGATACGAATCCCGATTTGAGTAGCGCCATCATATCGCCCGCCGAGGATCACATCACAGTAACCCAAGAGCAATACGAGTTGTACTGCGAAATGGGTATGTTTATGATTTATACTTTTGGCTTTGACAAGTTAATGACGATCTCACTGTCTGGTGTTGAATGGTCATCGGAGCTCATAGATATTTATTTATTTATTTACTTAGACACACCAACAGCAATACACACAAAACATTCGAGCTTAAAATTGACAAGTATACAATTGAGTACTAGTATGTGAGCCAGTTACAGGCATGTAACCACTTATCACCAGGTGGGCTGTGAGTTCGTCCAACCATCTAAGCAATAAATAAATAAAAAAAAGTACAGCAATCTCTTATAACAACACACTATGACATTTTACAACAATTTTACAAACATTTTTTAAATCCGCGTATAATATTTTTTATTGCTTAGATGGGTGAACGAGGTCACAGCCCACCTAGTGTTAAGTGGTTACTGAAGCCCATAGACATCTACAACGTAAATGCACCACCCACCTTGAGATATAAGTTCTAGGATCTCGGTATAGTTACAACGGCTGCCCTACCCTTCAGACCGAAACGCATTACTGCTTCACGGCAGAAATAGGCAGGGTGGTGGTACCTACCCGGGCGAACTCACAAGAAGTCCCGCCACCAGCATAACTCTCACTCCTGTAAAGTTGTATTAATTTCGCTTAAACCTTTAGCTTAGCCTTTTACATCTCGATATGAAAGTTTTTTTTTGTTTTGTATTTAAACTACCCTTTATTTTGTGTTTTTAACAAATACCCCGTTTACTTTACAGGCAGCACGTTCCAGCTTTGCAAGATATGCGCCGAAAACGACAAGGACATCAGAATAGAGCCGTGCGGGCATCTCTTGTGCACTCCCTGTCTCACTGCGTGGCAAATTGTGAGTTTGAATGTGTCTTTGAAACGTATTTCTTAATTGGTCAATTCGTCATCGTATATATTGTACGTTGAACTCATAATACGTTAGCTTAGTATTAGGCTCGAAGGACCAACAATCAATGGTCGGTCAACAAAACAATAAGAGGAGAACTTTTTTCTTTATCCTTTCTTTCTTTTTTTATCATATTTTTGTCATTGCACCTCCCGCCATCGCAGCAGAGTTCATCCATATTATCTGGAACCGCTGCCTTCATCGACAGTGCGTTTCTAAAGATCTTTTCTGCCACGTACCATCCGGCTTTGGAATGAGCTACCCTCCACGGTGCTTCCAGAGCGCTATGACCTGTCCTTATTCAAACGAGGCTTGCGGAGAGTCAATGGTAGGCAGCGGCTTGGCATTGCTGACTTTTATGAGAGACGGTAACCACTTACCATCAGGTGGTATAACATATAACGTAAATGCCGTAACGTAAATGCATATACACCTATAACGTAAATGCCGCCACCTACCTTGAGATATGAGTTCCTCAGTATAGTTACAACGGCCAGCACCACCCTTCAAACTGAAACGCATTACTGCTTCACGGCAGAAATAGGCAGGGTGGTGGTACCTACTCGTGCGGACTCACAAGACGTGCTATCACCGGTAAAATCAATTATAATGTTAGGACGTGTGATTTGTTTCAGGATTCCGAAGGGCAGGGTTGTCCGTTCTGCAGAGCCGAGATAAAGGGGACCGAGCAGGTCGTCGTGGACGCTTTCGTGCCGCCGCGCCCGCCCAACACCACGTCCGAGGCCAAGTGAGTTGGAACCGGGCGTTTGAATGATTCTAACTGGTGGTAGAACGTCTTGTGAGATAGATGGATGGATGAGATGGATGGACGAGCACATGGCCCACCTGGTGTTAAGCGGTTACCTTAGCCTTGGACATCTACAACGTAGTCACCCTGAGATACGAGTTCTAAGGTCTCCTCACTATAGTACAACGGCTGCCCCGCCCTTCAAACCGATTACTGCTTCACGGCAGAAATAGACAGGGTGTTGGTGCCTACCCGCGCGGACTCACAAGAGGTCCTAACCGCCAGTAATTACGCAAATTATAATTTTGTGAGTTTCATTTTTATTACACGACGTTATTCCTTCGCCGTGGAAGTCAATCGTGAGCATTTGTTAAGTACGTATTTCATTAGAAAAATTGGTACTTGCCAGCGGGATTCGAACACTGTTGTATCGCTACACATGTAACGGTATCTTGGTTACACCCACCGGTAGCCGCAGTGAAGAGAATGTACTCTTAAAGAAATTTACCCCAGGGCGCCATATAAAATAAAAGTTGACATGCCGTCTCACAACAATTAATTCAATTTAAAACACACACACACACACACACGTATACAATTTTAAAAGAAATACAAAAAAAGAAAACTAAATATACATACTTAATCTAGATTACACAGTTCATAGGGTTATAAAATTTAATGGAGGGTGATTACAGGTTCTGCGATGAAATAAAATATTACAAGTTAATACGTATCTTTCTCTGTGTAGGATACGGTGATTTCGAAGATAGGATCCTGGCTCGATGTTATACCAGTTCCCTCGCGTCAGTCAGTATAGTACTTAGATCTTGAGACAATTCTATTGGAACCCTATAACGTATGAATTACACACAATAAGCTCATGATACATTATAGAACAAACATATACATATGTATAATCAATGACTTAACGATAAATTACATCGGGCACAATTTAAAGACTTGAATGTTAAAACATTCTTGTACAAATCTAAAAATCAGTGTACTCTCAGGACTTTTCCTATAGCTGGTTGGCGCGGCTTCGGAATGAATTGTCACTAGCGCATGCACGCCTTTTTAAGTGAATCGTAACAAAAGACGAACTGTTGGAGGGAGTATTTGCCAGATTGACTTATTACGAATTTTTAATTAGCAATTCGGTGTTATACATATGAATGCACCAGACGTCTTATCCTTTAGGCCACGACGACGAATAGTACTTTCACTGATTGAGTACTAAACGTTTTCAACAGGAACCCAAAGCCAACGGTAAAAGCGGTCTCTTCGAACTCCTCTGGATCGTCAGGCTCCTCCGGATGCAATGGATCGAGTAAGTTTTAATTTCAATTCAATTATTTATAATTCAATTCAATGATAAAAAAATGATAACGTACAGGCGGGCGAAAGGGATAGCGATATGCTCCTACTTCCATATCCGATCTTCGTCATTAAAAATCCACTGAGTTTCTCGCCGGATCTTCTCAGTGGGTCGCGTTTCCGATCCGGTGGTAGAATCTGCGAAGCACTGCTCTTGCTAGGGCCAGTGTCAGCAACATCGACAGGTTTGAGCCCCGTGAGCTCCCCTACTAGTTAAGGTTACGTTAATATGGTCTATCTAGACTTCTAGACCATCAGCTTAGGTAAGAAAAAAAAACTTCATTAACCCAAAGGGGTTACCCCCTAATGCAGTTTATTCGTACATACTCCCTAATGCAGTTTTATTACCAGGTTCGGACGGTGCCGGCTCCGGTAACGCGGCCAACGGCTGGTCGTCCAGGAGCGCGGCCACCTTCAACGGTCTCGCCGACGACATCGACGACGGAGAGGTAAACACTAATAAAAAAAGAGAGAAAGGGAGAGGGAGAAGGAGAGAGAGAGGGGGAGAGAGAGACAATTGAATTATTATTATACGAGCCAATCGCGACCACGTAACCAGCCGGGAGGGTCAGTGGTGGTGATGTCCATGGACTCCTGGTATCGACACGTGAACGGTGTGTCTAAAGTTCACGTCTAATACGAGATGGCGTTGGATTATTCGATATAACATATACGGTCCTGATGTCCGGGCAACAAGGAAATATTTTAGATGCCGATATTCATTGAATAAATAACAAATAAAGATCTGGGTATACATATATTTTTATCCCATATTATTCGTGCCTTATACAAGTGGCATCAACTGATTTTATAATCATGAATATCCCAGAAATTCCACCAAGGTTTGCTTATAGACAAATGGAATTTAAAATCGTTACAAAAAAAGGAAAAAAAAAAGTTAAATTTAAATCGAAAGTGATCTTAAAAATGGTTTTTTCACTCGGCTTCAGCGAGCAAGTTCTGTGAGCTTAATGTATTGTGATAAATACTATATCATAGAATTGAGTTCCTACCATTAGTCTCGTAGTTAATTAGTTGCTCGATATTTCCTACCCGGAGTCTGTGACCAGTGCCCACAGCTTGAGTGCTTGAGCTGGAAGTCTTCCACGTAAAGACTTCTTAATTCTTAGGGTAATGGTAGGTAGCGCCTTGGCTCGGCCCCTAGTATTGCTGGAGTCCACGGGCGACGGTAACCATTCACCATCAGGTGGGCCGTACGCTCGTCTGCCTACAAGGGCAATAAAATAATAAACAATTCTTATGGCACATTGTTGGGTCACGGAGCAAATGTAAAACAGTATATGAGCATGTTCAAAGCTGAGCCAGTAAGTGTATTCACATTGTGAATAGCAATGAAAATTATACCCAATAAGAAGACCATAAATTAATTACCCATTGGCATTGGAAAATTAAAAAAATATTATTAAAAAAAAAACAAGGTACTAATGAATGATCGCGCTAAGCATGTATAAATAGGCATGTTCCAGCTGTTTTATTTTCATTTTGCGCTGCTTGTATTGTCATGTTCTTGTCAGTGTCAGTAAATCTGTTTTTTTTTGTAATTGGCGACTATTTTTTATCTCTGACTCTCATATATTGCATGATCTAGATACATCAGTTAGCAATTTACAAATGAGAGGTATAAAGTTTTAAGTTTCAATGTTAAAATGCACAGACACCAGAGTCACCAAAATTTATTTTGTTTAATTATTTTTTCTGTATTATTTATAAAGACGTTAACATTTTAAAATCATGTCAAATATATTACATAACGCAATGCAATACAATACAATACAATACAATAAATACAATGCAATGTAATACAATGCAATGCAATGCAATACAATAAATACAATGCAATGTAATGCAATACAATACAATGGAATGCAATGCAATACAATACAATACAATGCAATGCAATGCAATGCAATGCAATACAATATAATGCAATGCAATACAATAAATACAATGCAATGTAATGCAATGCAATGTAATACAATGCAATGCAATGCAATGCAATGCAATACAATAAATACAATGCAATGCAATACAATACAATGGAATGCAATGCAATGCAATGCAATACAATACAATACAATACAATACAATGCAATGCAATGCAATACACAAATGTCATGTACCGGAATTTCACAATTAACTTGTTTTGGATGTTTTGCGACTGTGGCGTATTCGATTTTATACCTCTCATATTATTATTGCATCGATTTATATTTTGTCTAATGCCAAAATTAAAACACAGATTGTACCGTCGAATATATCGAGCATGTGTCGGCCATTTGTCAGAATATTGCATTGTTTTTTGTTTTTTTTTTCCACAGAGGCACCGGAGAAAATGACCGCATGCATGACGCTTGTCCGTTCGTTCATTATGTTGTGATTTTTTTTTAACTATATCGATAATAACTCATTCCGTTACACACATATACATACATACTTCATTATGTACATTCCATTCCGGTGTTTATTTTTATTTATTTAAATGTACATAGTTGAAGTTTTTATTTTATTTTTAATTACTAATTTGTTTTTTTTTTTTTATTATTCTAAAATATTTACATTTAAATTAGACTATAGATAGATATACTTTTTAGGAAATGATGGCTATTATATTTATAAATGATGACAATGTTGAAATGTTTATATCGTCCTTTTTTTAATATCTAATATTGGCTGCTCGATAAATGCGCTGTAATATTATTATAGTCTAAAGAAGGTTTGTACGAATTCAAAATAAATTAATGTCACATCAAATTGTTCGTAATACGATTTCACACTTTTGATAATTTTTATTGTTTTTCCAAAAGAAACGTCATACCTACCGAAATTATTTCAGGAAATAAAACAACATTTTTGTCTTTAATATAAAAATCACGGAGTAAACTCGGGTGTCCATGATTTTATGTAGCGTAGTGATCGCAGTTAAAATAATATTTAACAGTTAATACAATACTAAGATATGAGATTAAAATAAAAAATGGCCCATGCTTTGTTAGTGTTGCCAATAGGAAGGGAAGCTAAAAACAATGTGAGCGTTTTTAGGTAAAGTTTCTTTTTTGTTCTGCACTGTCTGCATGCCCATACAGCCAACCATTTCTTCTAAGTTAAATAGTTAATTCATTTTTTACGAATATTTTTCTTATTTTACGTTTATCTCTTGTCGGGTTCAGCATTGTTTGTATTACCCTCTGTGTAGGCTGCCGCTTTGTGTGAAAAAGACAGATGACAGGGCTTAAGATAGGTAGCATAGATTCAATATAACGAAGTCTAATTATTTTCATATATAAGCAAACATGGAATTAAAATTGAATTTTTGATAAAAATGATAATTTAAACCATAAAAATTTATGTGATGATATTAAATAAAATGGTGTATTATATAATAAATGCCACGACCTATGAAGTCGTAAAATTATTGTCACCGTACCTGTACTTAATATTCTATTGTGAAATATGAAATACAGTGGTGCTGCGATGGTCCCTAAGTTTTTTAACTTGAAATTTTCACGCGATGTTGAGAACCAATAAATATATTTATTTCGACTTAATATACCAATATCACCAGGAAAAAATAAATCATATTTTACGTTCTGCTTACAATTAAAGTGTTTTTTTTTTGTTTGTATATAAATAGGGAAAAAAGAAATGAACTTCCTATTTCCAATTGAAACGATTTTTTTTCTTAATCTCTGAACTAAATTTATTTGAGTATTTTGTCCAGACCCTATCTCTCATCATCATCATCATCATTATCCTGCCCTTCTCCCAGTCACCTGGGGTCGGCGCAACATGTTTTCTCCTTGCATACTCTTCTATCACATATCATTTCTTCGCTCACTCCCCTCTTACCCATATCGTCTTTCATACAATCCATCCATTTCTTCTTAGGTCTACCTCTTCCTCTATATCCTTCCACATTCGTAGTTAACACTCTCTTACCAACCTCATTTTCATTTCGTCTCATCACATGTCCATACCATCCCAAACGCGTACCACTCAGCTTCTCTGTCACAGGTGCTACTTTCAGACTTCCTCTAACATATTCATTCCGTATTCTATCCATTCTTGTTACTCCACACAACCTATCTCTATCCACGTTTAATTTAAGACTCATATTTTATTGTCACATTTGATTTAATTAGTTTAACGTGGACGCAATAAATGGATTATAATCACGTGGTGATTTAAGGTTTAAGCGTTGCTCGATTTATGTTATTGGACATTTCAATATTATTATTATATTTTTGTTAAGAATTTCATTTTAAATGCTAGGCTATTTTATTATTATTGGCTAATCCGTGTGCTGTAATTTTAATTCTAAATAGGTTTTCTCTTTGTATTATTATGACAAAACGATGATTATAATTTATGAATATTACTAGACTTATTAATATTTAAGTTTTAATAATTAATATTTTTTAGACGCGCTTAAAATTAGTAATTAATTAATATAGTACACGAAACACTTAAAAACAATTACTAAATATTAAAATAATTACAAATTGGCTTTAATTACTTGCGAATAAATTAAAAATGAAATACTTCTTTAGTTCATGGACGATTATCATATTTATGAATTATTAATAAAAATTATGCATTATTAGTTTTGTCTAAAGAGAGAGAGAGAAGGAGAGAGAAGAAGAAAGAGACGGAAAATAAAATCTGCTGCTTGTGTGACGTCATGAAAACATTCATTTATTTCATTGTAATTATGACCTATGACCGTAGCATGTAATTAACTGAGGTCTGTTTTATTTATACGTTAAGTTAATGTTTTGTGTGTTTAAAATTACAAAGCTTGGTGAAATGCGTTTTGTAGTTTTTTTATTTTGCCTGTCGTTTTTTGTTTTGTTTGCATGGTATGTTGAATGTTTGATCGTTTCATTGGATGTTCGGTGTAACGGTTCTCGTATACAGGGTGATGTTTTCGTTTACAATAATCGATTTGAAAATGCTGAAATGTGCCATGATTTATTTAGTTTTGAGAATGACTCGTGGCCTAACGGATAAGACGTCCGGTGCATTCGTGTCGAGCGATGCACCGGTGTTCGAATCTCAGGCGGGTACCAATTTTTCTAATGAAATACGTACTCAACAAATGTTCTCGATTGATTTCTACGGTGAAGGAATAACATCGTGTAATAAAAATGAAACTCTTAAAATTATAATTTGCGTAATTACTGGTGGTAGGACCTCTTGTGAGTCCGCGCGGGTGGGTACCACCACCCTGCCTATTTCTGCCGTGAAGCAGTTATGCGTTTCGGTTTGAAGGGTGGGGCAGCCGTTGTAACTATACTTGAGACCTTAGAACTTATATCTCAAGGTGGGTGGCGCATTTACGTTGTGGATGTCAATGGGCTCCAGCAACCACTTAACATCAGGTAGGCTGTGAGCTCGTCCACCAATCTAATCAATAAAAAAGACAGGTTTTTTTAAATGAATATTTCAGTTTTTTTTTTATGTAATTACTTCTTATGGGAGGGTAAGTCGGTACGTCACGTAACGCGTTATGGCGCCTGTTTGTCTGGCGTCCCTTTCTCTCACGCACACGACAGCGGTACTTAGAACATTATGTAACTCCTATTTATATAACTCTTTCAATTTATGTTACAATTTTCCTTACGTTATCATTTTTTATTTATTGCTTAGATGGGTGGACGATGTCACCGCCCACCTGGTGTTAAGTGGTTACTGGAGCCCATAGCCATTTACAACGTAAATGCCGCTACCCACCTTGAGATATGAGTTCTAAGGTCTCAAGTATAGTTACAACGGCTGCCCTACCCTTCAAACCGAAACGCGTTACTGCTTCACGGCAGAAATAGACGGGATGGTGGTACCTACCCGTGCGGACTCACAATTAAATATATCATAATCATCATACTATATATTTTATCATGCATAAAATTTAAGTAATAACCTAAGCTTTTCTTAAGTTTAGCAATTTCAATATTAAACAGTTCAACTTAGATTAGTTTAATTTGTCACTTTTGTCGGGTATCCTGAGACGCACAAGTTTGAAACAGGTACTCCCTGTTTTTGTCTTCAAATTTGGTTATTCATATCACGAAGAAATTCAAATTACTATTACTATCGCAACTATTTAACCTTTGACTGCCTTTGAATTAGGTAATGCCAGGCCGATGCCGTAATAAAACTCCGTAAACTCTGGGAATGACGAATCCAAAGACACCCTCGGGCTGGCGTCCCCCATTAAAACCCCCCCAAAAAATTAACGAACTTATTCAAACAATGCCATCGATTTATGCCATCTCCATCTCCATTAATTAACCCATCCAATTATTAGAATATTGTCTAAGAATGTACTCACGAAAAGTGTTCACGATCGACTACCTCTCAGCGATGAATCTACATTGGTTCGATTGACAGTGGCGATTACAAAAGACACGGATGCCGAGTATCAATGTAAAATGTCTCGATATATAAGCTAAATCTTCTATAATCTTGTAGAAAGGGTAACTCAATAAGTATTGTACAAAGCAAGAGTCGATTGACTAGGTGACGATATAAACTAAGCACGGGCAGAGAGTCGGTTGTTTGGTTAATGTTTCTCTAAATAGAGTCATTAAGAATCACAGATAACGAACGAGAATCGATTTTTATGTTCTCACAACAAAAACGTATCGATATTACTCTCCGAGGACCGGATCAAAATGAACCGAATTGGTGAGTTGGATGACGCCATACATACAAAGGATCCATCGTGGGTTTCATTTTGTAAGTCTGTTCATTAAAAATAAATGGTTTTCGATTAACAGTGTCGAAGTTAAGACGGTCCGAATACAATGGTATCATGTAATCAAAACGTGGGCCCATAATAGGAACATTTAGCTGTCTCTCTCGCACTCCATACATGAGCAATGGTGTCCTCCTCTACGATCGTTCAACTCAATAAAACCAGAAATGGGGTCCCCGTCCTCGTCGAACCCGTCGCTTGCGACGAAGGGCTCGATGAGCGAATTAACCCACAGACACAGCCCACTGAGTTTCTCGCCGGATCTTCTCAGTGGGTCGCGTTTCCGATCCGGTGGTGGATTCTGCGAAGTACTGCTCTTGCTAGGGCCAGTGATAGCAACACCCTCGGTTTGAGCCCCATGAGCTCACCGATACACGTTAGGGCGAAGCTGAAATGGCCTCTCAAGGCTATCAGCATAGGTAGGCAAAAAAAAACAGATCTAGAAACTAGTCTTCTCCTTTTTTTACACCTTATCCCACTAGGTTCACACAGCTATTTTTTCTCTTCCATTCTCTTCTATCAGCCGTCATCTCAACACTGACTCCTCTCTCTCTCTCATATCGTCATTCAAACACTCCATCCATGTCTTCATCGATCGACCTCTTCCCCCTCTACTAATAACTAGTGAACATTCCAGGATTGGGCCGAATTCAATGCTGCGACGTCTACGATAGACGCGTTACGTCCGTCTGTCCGATCGCCCGGTGCGTCCCCGCGACACTCCCCCCGCGCGTCCCGCCGCACCCCCGCGCCCGCAGAGAACGCGTACGGGGAACTCAGGGCCCCCCCTCTGCCCCCGCGGAAGAGCCTCTCGCCCGCCGAACCGGCTATCGCAGCCGCGTCCAGTGTACAAGACATAGCTACTGCTAGCGCATTGGGTGAGTAGCTGCGGGAGATCGCGGATCCTCCGAATCTTGAAGTCGTCGTAGCCTAACGGATAAGACGTCCGGTGCATTCGTGTTGAGCGATACACCGGTATTCGAATATCAGGCGGGTACCAATTTTTCTAATGAAATACGTACCCAACAAATGTTCACGATTGATTTGAAAAACATAATAATGTGTGCAATTCACACGTGGTAGAAGTGAAACCTTCCAAAATTAAAATACAATTATCCTAAACGTCTTAAGTATATGTAAAATTTTGTCATTAGTAAATAATTGTAAGGTAGCGCCCTCTGTGAATTGATATTTTAATTTCACGTATAATCCTAAATTAAAATTCACTACAAGAGCTTTCATACACACGTTAGTATTAAAAAATCTCACAGATGGCGCTGTATTAAATAGTATGTATATTTCTGTCTCATTCTTTGCTGGCTTCATCCTACACATTTTTGTATTTGTGTGTCTTACCTGTCGTTTTTTCCGTTGCATCCGGTTTGAAATCACAACGATTCTAAAGAAGTTTTCACTTCAAAAAATCAAATAACTTTTCATGTTTGTTTTTTTTTATTGTATCTGATGTATCTGTAGATGTAATCTAAAAGAAAATGTTACCTTACAAATGTTGAAAAGTAATACTACTACTGCTACTAATACTAATAATAAAATGGAAAATAATTTGTTAAATCTAAAGTCTAATACGTATTGGTCAAATCTAATGATCAATCTAAGATAGGACAAAGTTTGAAAGCAAACGGTAAGTGTGCTGAGCATTGAGATATTATCAGAATAATACAAGAATAGCGACCCTTATTGTAGAACCTATTGGTTTTTTTATTTATTGCTTACATGGTTGTATTGAAGCCCATAGACATTTACAATTTACAAATTTAAATGCGCCACCCACCTTGAGATGTAAGTTCTAAGGTCTCAAGTATAGTTACAACGGCTGCCCCACCCTTCAAACCGAAACGCATTACTGCTTCACGGCAAAAATAGGCGGAGTGGTGGTACCTACCCGTGCGGACTCACAAGACGTCCTACCACCAGTAATTATGCAAATTTTATTTTATTAAAAAAATTGGAAATGTATTGGTAATTTAAATCTTCTAGAGCCCAAGAGGAGATCGTCTTTAGAGCCAGAACCTGACGCCCGGCATCGTTTGACTTCCATCATAACAGGGTCCACGGAAACAATCACCGGTGTCATTGACACAAGACACGAGGTTAGCGAACGAGATTCATAGTTAGATTTTTCATTGCTTACCCGAGCTCATTAATCTATTATTATTTTTTTAAATATAGACTCCACCTGACCCACGTGCCTTCGAGAAGCCACGAAGGGCTTGCACCCCTCAGTCTAACAGCCGACCTCTCCCGGCCCCGCCCCCCGAGAGACCCGCAGACGACCGGCCCCCCTTAACGGAACGCAACGCCCCCGACCGACCAGAAAAACAAGAGAAACCGGATAATCGGCAACCGGAAACCCGACATCCGGATCGAATGCTAATACCCGAAAGGGTTCCTAACGACAGACACCAAGAGCTCCCCAGGCCTCCGGATAGAACGGATAAACCTGACAGAATACAATCGCAAGAGCGCTTAGAACGAGCGCACACTTCGCTGGAGAAGCCCGGTAATACCGAAACCAGGTATTACGAGAGGGAGGTTAGGGCCCCTCCCAGACAGAGGTCGCTGCCAGCTAGTACGAGTGGTAGCACGGACCAGCCGCCAAAGTCGACCACGATGCCGAAGTTCCCTTCGGAGGACGTCAAGGATCCGCCATACGAAAATGTAGGCGTCGAGAAAAACGAATTGGCCGTGGCACGTAAGTATTCAAACAAGCAATTAACGACATTAAGTTAAATATGATTTTTGTATCCTGATCGGAATTTTAGGTCCGGGTCGTGTCGGTCCTTGATATTTATGCAAATTTTCAAGGACTTGTATTTCGTATAAAAATGAGTTGATAGATTCCCTAAATCACACCGGTAGGACCATCCTGCTCATTTCTGCTGCGAAGCTACTATACATTCTAGTTGAAGGGTGGGACAGTCGTTATACTATACAAACTAGACACTGACTTCGAGTCAGAAACCATAGATAATAACACATAAATTAGTTATAGATAAGCAACTCAAGCGCTCAACAAAAATGTTTACAGGCATCGGCCACTAGATGGCTTCGCTTCGATTAGTTTCTCATTGCTCCTGTAGATGGCAGTAACATACTACCTACCTACTACTACTACCTATCCTGTATTTTATTTTAAATGAAGAATTTTGTAAATTTTCAGAAACCACAAATTGATAAAATTTAATCGACATAAAGACTTGTATGATCTGTGTTTAGTTATACAAAATGAAATGCCACCACCCACCTTCAGATATGAGTTCTAAGGTCTCAGTCTAGTTACAACGGCTGCCCCGCCCTTCAAACCGAATCGTATACGGCAGAAATGGGCAGGGTGGTGGTACCTACCCGCGCGGACTCACAAGAGGTTCTACCACCAGTAAAGCAGTTTCAGGCCCCTGTCAGAAACATAAGCAACTTGGACTATATATGTGAACGTTTTTTTTTCAGCAAAGAAAATAAACCCCCTAACCCACGACAAGCACGGTCGCAAGTACGGAGACAATGTCTCGTACGAAAACATTAACTTGGACTACATAGCGCGGCTGGTGGGCGAGGGTTACCCCAAAGAAATCGTGGTCCGCGCTCTGGGCATTACCAGAAACGACCTGGAAATGGCCTGCGACATCCTACACGAGTTCGGATCTAAAGCGACCAATAAATGCTAGGGGTTGCGGGACTCATTCGAAAACCGATCCAACCNAGTAAAGCAGTTTCAGGCCCCTGTCAGAAACATAAGCAACTTGGACTATATATGTGAACGTTTTTTTTTCAGCAAAGAAAATAAACCCCCTAACCCACGACAAGCACGGTCGCAAGTACGGAGACAATGTCTCGTACGAAAACATTAACTTGGACTACATAGCGCGGCTGGTGGGCGAGGGTTACCCCAAAGAAATCGTGGTCCGCGCTCTGGGCATTACCAGAAACGACCTGGAAATGGCCTGCGACATCCTACACGAGTTCGGATCTAAAGCGACCAATAAATGCTAGGGGTTGCGGGACTCATTCGAAAACCGATCCAACCAAAGCATCTGATTGGCATTGTCAATGTCCGTGACGCATTTTTTTTAATGGCGATAAATTTGACGCTGTCATACAAAAAATCTTAGTGTCTCAATTTTTTTTATCTAAAGTCGGTTTACTGACGATAATTGAACGCGACAACGTCATAAGAAAATACTGATGGAATGGTTTCATTTTTCAATTATCGCAATTATCGTTGCTATAAACAATTGACACCACATTCACTTTTCACTGAACTTCATACTTGACGAAAACATGTAAATGTATTATTGTACAGCAGCTGTCCACGCGGATGCATCGCTCACTCAAGTAGGAGAGAGACAGATGTCGAACGCGGAGGCCGATTGTGCCTCTTTGTCACTCGTTGCGCGCTCTCGCTTGCACTTCATGCCTTAAATGGAACGCCTCATGAGTCATGTTTTTTCGTGCGTGCAGCCGGCTCCATCGAATTATAAGACGTTGTCACGTCAAAAAGTCTCAATTTAAATATGTTCAGTGACAGTTTTAGGTGGAAACAAAGGGACTAATTGTCAAGTATAAAGTTTATGGACATTGTCAATGTCAGGTCGGTGGTTTCTTCGTAACGCGCGTGGGTTCGATGTTGCCGTTATTGAATTCGAGGAAATTTGTGCCTAAAATATATATATATGTGTGTGTGTATATAAAAATTGGGATCTCCTAACTAATCGTATGTGATATGAATATACTTGAACGTGAAAAGAAACATTTTGCTATAGTATCGATAAAATATATTTTTGTTTGTGTACGCGCATTCTATACCAATATTATCATTAAACTTTAATATTATTTATTATTTGTGTAAAGATTTTAGTATTTCTAATGAAACTTATCGGTCTTTTTTTTCCTACCAATGCTGATAGCCTTAAGAGACTATTTCAGCTTTTCCTTGACGTGTAGGTGAGCTCACGGGGCTCCAACCGGAGTGTTGCTAACACTGGCCCTAGCAAGAGCAGTGCCAATAATCTTAACGCTACCATGGAATAGAAATAGATAGAGCGAGTTTTTTTTTTTTTTTTTTAGTTCAGAAGCATCTTCAATTCTAAAAGTGAGATATGTTTTTTATTTTAATTTCAACAATTGCAGTGAACGGCAAAGCTAATATTTTTTAATAGGCAAGTAGCACGTCATTACGGCGGTGTTTTAGGTACCTCAAGCACTGGTCACTGTCCTCGCCGAACCCGTCGCTAGCGACGAAGGGCTCGACGAGTAAATTAACCCTCAGACACAGCCCACTGAGTTTCTCGCCGGATCTTCTCAGTGGGTCGCGTTTCCGGTCCGGTGGTAGATTCTGCGAAGCACGGCTCTTGCTAGGGTTCGTGTTAGCAACGTGGTCAGATTTGAGCCCCGTGAGCTCACCTACTAGTTAAGGTTACGCTGGAATAGCCTCTCAAGGCTACCAGCTTAAGAAGGAAAAAAAAAAAACGTCTCTAGAAAAAAATCTTAAAATTTTTTTTTTTTAAATTTCCACTTACTCCACTTTCGATAGAAAATTGCGCACACAAACAAAAATAAATCATGTTTCGTTCTCATTACTACTAAATAAATATATTACTGTCGAATTCTTCATCCGAATTTTGATTCGATATTTTAATCGGAAACTGTCATAGCGCCAGTTCATTATGTAGTTGGTATTCAATGAATATTGGCAATTTTTTTTTACTTTTTCTAAGACCGGTACGAGATCACGGCTCAACTGGTGTTAAGTGGTTGCATCGACAACGTTAATACCGAAACCGGGCTTGCGACACGACCTCTAAGTCCCAGTTGTTAACAATAAAGAAAATACTTCTATCGCCGTTTTAACTTTACTTAACTTTTTATCAATTTAAACGTCAAACATATTATCGAGAGTTGAAAGGCTATTTGGTTTAAGCGACATTTCTCTTTGTCCGTTTTATTTGGTATTAAAATCAACAGTTCGTTGTTTTTTTAATTAAACTTCAAATAAGTTTATTCCATTTGAATATAACTGAAGAAGTTTTTGTTTGTTATGATATTTTTTTACAAATTTCATACTTTAAATGGGTCTCCTGTAAAGTTGCAAAAATGTCGATTTTTTTCCTTCTTATGCTGATAGCTTTTAGAGGCTATTTCAGCTTTTGACATGTAGGTGAGCTTATGGGGCCCAAAGCGGATGTGTTGCTAATACGTACCCTAGCAAGAGCAGTGCTTCGCAGAATCTACCACCAGATCGGAAACGCGACCCACTGAGAAGACCGGGCGAGAAACTCAGTGGGCTGTGTCTATGGTCGCTTAACCCAATTGCCTTTCACCCCTCGATATGATAATTACCCTATTGCTTTGTGATATTCGGTACATGAATGCCTTTGAAAAAGCTTGAAGGAAAAAACTATTTGTGGAAAGAACACCGTATGTTTTTTATTTATTTTTTATTGCTTAGATAGGTGTACGAGCTCACAGCCCACCTGGTGTTAATTGGTTACTGGAGCCCATAGACATCTACAACGTAAATGCGCCACCTACGTTGAGATATAAGTGCTAAGGTCTCAGTATTGTTACGACGGCTGCCCCACCCTTCAAGCCGAAACGCATTACTGCTTCACGGCAGTAATAGGCAGGGCGGTGGTACCTACCCGTGCGGACTCACAAGAGGTCCAACACCAGTGATTACGCAAATTATAATTATGCGGGTTTGATTTTTATTACACGATGTTATTCCTGCACCGTGGAAGTCAATCGTGAACATTTGTTAAGTACGTTTTTGATTCGAAAAATTGGTACCCGCCTGCGGGATTCGAACACCGTTGCATCGCAACAACGAATGCACCGGACGTCTTATCCTTTAGGCCACGACGACTTTCTAAACTAATTAATATTTAAAGAAAACATTGACAGAATAGTTTGTATGCTTTGGTTCGATTGAATAATTTCAAATATAAATAATATAGCAAGCATCTTCGTTTCGCACGTTTGCATACAAAGTTAGATTCAAATTGTTTGAGTCATCAAATTCTACTAAAGAACAAAAAAAAAAAACTATGATGAAAGTTGTTTTAAAATTAATAATGTTTTTTTAAAATATAAATAATGTCCGTAAAATTGCATTTTTTTTTATTGCTTTGATGGGTGGACGAGCTCACAGCCCACCTGGTGGTAAGTGGTTACTGGAGCCCGTAGACATCTACAACGTAAATGCGCCACCCACCTTGAGATATAAGTTCTAAGGTCCGAGTATAGTTACAACGGCTGCCCCACCCTTCAAACCGAAACGCGTTACTGCTTCACGGCAGATAGGCGGGGTGGTGGTACCTACCCGTGCGGACTCACAAGAGGTCCCACCACCAGTAGACTTCTCTCTTCATTCTTTATAAAGTGTGATAGTATTCTAGATTTTAATCGTAATAATAAAAAAGGCACATTTCGTATGTTTTTTTTTTTTTTTTTTTTTTCATTTTATGTTCATAATTTATTTTTAACACTTAAGGTTTTATTCCATGCTGTTTTTGTTTTGTCGTATCAGTATTCTTAATAAAGTGCTTTGTAAATAATTTTGTAATAGTGTTAACGATATAAATATTTATATTTTCTTAAATAAATAGCTTACTTTTTAACTACTTAAAGATAGAATATATTTTTTCTATATTATTATTATGTACGGTATGTTTTCGGAATTTTCATTGAAATTTGAGGTCGTATGGCTACTAGTTGCTGACTAACACTGGTAGTAAATGATTTTCCATTAATTATGCTCATTCAGGTTAGTAAATGAATAGTCTCACCACAAGAAATGTCTTGAGAAATATTTTTGTTTTTGTCTTTGACTTTTGATGACTAAGCTAAAGAAAGTTATGTCATACAGCCTCAAATGTCAAATGTGCCTTTTGTAAATTTCGAAAACATACCTTAACTACGTTTTTCTAGTAAACAAACACTCAACATTGACTTATGACTTTTGCAATATTAATATTTAATGTAGAATTAATAGTGTAAATAAAAATAATATACTTCTAACCTATTATTATGACTTCCCTTAGAAATTTATCGGCGAAAAATAATTTTAGTAATGCCTTTTAGTGTAGCACGTATTTTAACTTTATTTGTAATGTTGCCACTCGAAAAAATAATAATTCTAGGCACGTTTTTGTAAAATACATATAAAATTATATTATAACGTAAAGTTGTTCAATCGTTTGCTTTTTAAAATACGATTTACAGAAGCGTTTACTTTTATTTCGTTTTAAAATAAATTAGTGCATATTTAATGATTCTCATTTGTAATTAATATTTGGAGGGAGCAGCGAGGAAGAGGTTAGAAATTGAAATAAGAACTTGAAAAATATTTCGAAAGTACCTAAATAAATAATTCATGAAATTCGTATATGACTTTTATTTATTCGCAGTGCATGCGTTTCTATATAAGTTGGGTATTGCTTAAGACATGCTTACAGTCCACGCGTAACCAGATACCAAGGCCCAAGGTCTTTAGTATTTAAGCTGTACTAAGGCACTACGAACCAGTGAACATAGAATTGAATAGATATTTCTGACAGCGGTTTTTACGCTAACTTAATCAATCGAGAACGTCACAAAACTAGCACTAAGATCCAGTGTGCTTAAAAAATAGATTTCTCTTAAACCTGGGTGAGAATATAAAAATCGTTTTCTGAATATGAAACGATATTTCTTTGTCTATCAAATTAAGTTAAAACTATCGTGACAGACAACTTCTTTTAGGGGCCCAAACGCCCAAAGAAAATGGGCATTATCCTTTAGTTGAACAGCGCCCCTACCGGCAAACTTAGGCAAACGTTCCAACTCTATACAAATTTGAGTTAACTTTTACGCTATCGAGAACGTTGAAAAACTCGCACTAAGCACACTGGGCTCACAACGGCGGCGTTCGAACTAGTAACTCCAGTAACCCATCAGCGTCGGGTGACCTCTAGATGTTTTACCATTCGGATGTATACCGAATGATGTATAATTGCAATCGACTCTACGATTCTCTGTAACGATCGAGAGCCGTGTGACCTCGATTTCGTTTTCATGTCTCCGGGTGTGGTTACAACTAAATCCTGTAAGGAGGTAATCTTCTCCCTGAGGAGGTCGAGGCTGCGCCACACGCTGCCGTCACTAAATTACAAAAATATTAAACCATAAGTAATCGGTTTTCTATAAAACCGGCTTACGGACGATATTTTTGCGTGATAATGTCAGTAGCAAAACTATTTGAACTACTAGTTCTGACGTCACGCGAGAACAGAGATAAATGTGTCACAAGCCAACGCTTGGGCCGATCGTAGCTCTCTATCGCTGGTCCCGCGCTCGCGCTGTCATGCTCAAGCGTAGCGTGACACTTTTTTGTGCGTGCAGCCGGTGCTCATCGATTTATAAGACGTTATCACGTCAAGGAACACTTCACACTTCGATAAAGCGGCACGACACGAGAACCCTCTCATCGTGGCCGCCGGTAACTACATTACCGATTCTGCGGGCAGAATGGAAAGCAGTCGACGTTGCCCCATACACGTCATTTCGGATCCTCCCGATCCACTAACGGTGCTTTTAGGTACCTCAAGCACCGGTCACCGTTCTCGTCGAACCGTAAAAGGGCTCATAAGGGTAAATTAACCAGACACAGCCCACTGAGTTTCTCGCCGGATCTTCTCAGTGGGTCGCGGTTCCGATCCGGTGGTAGATTCTGCGAAGCACGGCTCTTGCTAGGGTTCGTGTTAGCAACGTCGTCAGGTTTGAGCCCTGTGAGCTCACCTACTAGTTAAGGTTCCGCTAAATAGCCTCTCAAGGCTATCAGCTTAGGTAGGAAAAAAAAGAACACTTCACTTCTTGGGTTCCCGCCAGGAGCGAAGTATGTGAATTGTTTTATTTTGTCTGTATAGTGTTTCTTCAGGTGTAAACTTGTAATAATAGTGGAAAATTAAACTACGCCGCTGGAAGTAGCTTCTGGACGCTTCTGCCGCTGGACGGCAGAAACGGTAGGCAGCGGCTTGGTTCTGCCCCTGGCATTGCTGTAGTCATGGGCGACGGTAAACACTCATCATCAGGTGGCCCGTATACTCGTCTGCCTACAAGGGCAATAAAGAAAGTATCTTCCAAAAAGCCCACTGAAAAAGTCTCAGTAAATAATCACCATTTTACTGAAATCATATTTCAACTCGTAATAATATCATCTCATGTCAGTTATTTTTATGCCAAAGTATTGTATTATTATATTACACTACTAGCGACCCGCCCTCGCTTCGCTTCGGAAACATTAAAACACACTTGAAACCAAAAAAATAAAATAAAAAAAATTTAAAAAAAGTAGCCTATGTTCATCAGGGACAATGTCGGCTTCTAATGGAAAAAGAATTTTTCAAATCGGTCCAGTAGTTTCGGAGCCTATTCGAAACAAACAAACAAACAAATCTTTCCTCTTTATAATATTAGTATAGATAGCATTATATTTATTCATATTCAAATTTCATTTCGCTCCATATTATCTTTTTTTGTAAATTCTTTTTCAGTAAAATTAATTTACAAAAGATTAGGCTATGTGGTTATGATACCTTTGCCTTTTTGGAATTTGCCAATTTCAAAAACAGAACTACAGTTACTACCACTTGTTTTCCCGCCAAAAAACCGCTCGAAGTGTCCGTTCTTTACATGTTCACGCCACAAATTCAATCAATGATTAAAAATTGATTTCTCAATTCGCAATTAAAATACGTCTATGTTAATTAAAACGTAGAAAAATTCGTTGGGCGGTCAATAAATATTGCCTTTTGTGATTTCATTTAAAAATGCTTACATCGACTCTCTTGTTTATATTTGAAGTGAGTTCTATGTGTTATTTTCTTTCTGTCTCACAATTAGCAAGGTTGGTAATGGCGTAGGTATAAGTGTTTTTTTTTATTGCTTATATGGGTGGACGAGCTCACAGCCTACCTGGTATTAAGTGATTAGTAGAGCCCATAGACATCTACAACGTAAATGTGCCACCCACCTTGAGATATAAGTTCTAAGGTCTCAGTATAGTTACAACGGCTGCCCCACCCTTCAAACCGAAACGCATTACTGCTTCACGGCAGAAATAGGTGGGGTAGTGTTACCTACCCGTGCGGACTTACAAGAGGTCCTACCACCAGTAAACCTTTTAATAACCACCTTTTAATTCTGGCACAACTAAACAACTGTACCAGTTAAAATGTCATATTCGTAACAAAAGTAAGGCCTTGATCTTCAGTTAAAACAGTTCCTTGTCTGGATAGTTCGATTATAACTAATTACAGATCACATTAGCGGCCACTCAGATCCCAAGCCACACGGATTACCAGAGAATAGGCGAAGTTCTATTTAGAAATGAAAAGTATAATGTATACAAACCTACTATACATTCAGTGACGGATTATTTTAAGAGTTACATGCTAGACCAGCTGAGAAGGAAACCGAATGAGAGAGTTTTTATCGACGACGATGGCTTTCGACACGAATGGCTAAACTTTGACGAAGACAATGGAAACTTGCGCAAGCAAAACACCGATATATCAGTAAAAAATCAAACTACAACTAGACCTAACGTAGAAAAGAAAAGGAGGAAGACGCCGAAAAGAAAAAAGAAAGTAACAGAAGCAGTAAAAGAAGATAGAAAAAATTTAAGAGAAGGAGAAAACTTGGAAGGCAGGACCGTTGCTAAAACCACGTTTTACTGCCCATTCCTCGGAATCGTCACGATGCATTCCTTCCTTGACTGAAACTTACACGTTATTGTAAACATAAATTCATTAATTATATTTCTAATTCAATTAATAAAATAATTAAATCTCCTACAAATATTTAGATTAGATGAAATATTAGAAGTCGGACATTTCGCCACAGCTGTTCGCTAATTAAACATTTGGAATCTGTGTTTTCGGATGCAGATGAGCCCTATAAGCGACAATACATATTTTTATCCAACAAATTTCATCGCAATTGAAGGTATTTGGCCATTGGCAATTGGAAAATACCAGCCAAAGTACAATCAAGATAATTCGATCGAAATAAAACTTTAATGGCTACGAAGTGTTCTTTTTTAATATGCATTAATATTAAATATATATTATGCTCTAAACAAAATTATCTTATGATAGATGGAAAAGAACACAATAATTACATTTTATAAAATCTAGATTCAAGTCATTCTAAATCTTTCCTCTCCTTCGAATCCCGATTAAATCTTCTATTAAATCTCCCAGTCATATATGGATCCAGGTCTTCGTTAACTTTATATTTATCAAAGGTTCCCATGAAAGAATTCACAGCGGTTCTCAAAGCTCTCCTGTAACTGTTGACCGGCATTTTCTCTTTTAACATCACGACTGGCTCGAATGGTATCATGAAGCCGGCGGCAGACGCGACTAATGGCATCAGCGGAGCGGGTAGATAAAATGATATTAAGTCCATTGCTCCGTTTACTATGCACGTTCCAATGTTCCTCAATACTGTAGCCACTTTAGGTATAGAAACTATTCTAAAAATCGGTGTTGTCAAAGTTTTATACAGACTCGTGGTGATTGTCTCGGGATTATTCCTTCGTACTGAGTTCGATATTGACGCACTAGTGGTAGCTAAGGAGGTTGGACTTGTTTTGTCGAATTGATCGTTAATCTCCGGCTGCTGAGGCTGTAATGTAATCTGATAATATTTAAAAGATATATTTGTAAGAAGATTTATTTTGGAACGAAGTTCTTTATGGGATGATGCGGAGGGGTACCCTAACCGGGAAAAAACGTCCGTAACGTAAGATGTTTATTAGTAATGCACACAGTGTACGACTTAACTTTGTATAATACAAAAAATTACATATTTTTACTACATATTTTTTATATATCATTGTGAATAAAATAAAGTTGATAGCTTTGTAAAGTAGTTTTAAAAAAATCATATACAAAAATGTATACCCGAATAATTACATATTTTCTTTATACCTCGAATAGAACTTAAAAATTAATATTTTTATAATAAGGAACTTCGTTCCTATACAGTGTCCCACGTCACCACACATATTTTATTAACTTAGTACCTATAGGAGATGATGAGTTGAGATGATCCCATCATCTCGTTTTTATTATCGCATCGTCCGCCAGTGCAGTAGAGCTCATCCATACAACTTAGAACCACTGCATTCATCCACAGTGCGTTTCCAGAGATCTTTTCTGCCACGTACCATCAGACTTTGATATGTACTTCCCTTGATGGTGTTTCCTAAGCGCTGTTCTTGCTTAGGCTGTCGTAGAGCTCTCAGAGGTAAGCAGCAACTTGGCTGTGTCCTGACATTGCTGGCGTCTATGAGCGACAGTAACCACCATCAGGTATGTTCGTCTGCTTACAAGGGCAATAACTTTTTTTTTCTACCTATGCTGATAGCCTTGAGAGGCTATTTCAGCTTCGCCCTAACGTTTGTAGGTGAGCTCACGGAGTTCAACCGGAGAGTTGCTAAAACTGACCCTAGCAAGAGCAGTGCTTCGCAAAATCTACCACCGGATCGGAAACGCAACCCACTGAGAAGATCCGGCGAGAAACTCAGTGGGCTGTGTCTATGGGCTAGTTCGTTCGTCGAGCCCTTCGTCGCAAGCGACGGGTTCGACGAGGACGGTGACCGGGGGCAATAACAATAGTCTTCGTGACATCCAGGAAAGTACAAGCCTATGTATTTCAACACACTGCACCTTTAGAACTGAAGTGGCCTAATAAAGAAATTTTAGAAAATTAGTTTTATACTTCGAGCGACATATAAACATTTATTCTAACAATTTATAAAATTTTCACTTTTTCCCTTTCTCTCTCTTTCTATCGCTCTCTCTCTCTCTGTTTCTCTCTCTTTTAGTCCAGAATCGTGCTCTTTCCGTTTCTTTTAAATCAAACGTATACCTTATAGTATTAAAATAGAAAAACAAGCTTAACAATATTTGCTATGTGTATGTGCATTACTATAATTCTCATGTTGTATTTGTTATTTTAGTTATGTGTTATTTGTTCTACACACACTCATCACTTTTAATTATTATTCTCATAATCCTCTCGCAGGTCTGCTGGTAGAGATTTCTTAATGAAATAAGCAGCGCCTTTGTACATAATTTTCCTATTACTCTGTACTATGTCATCTTTTCTGTGTGTACATAAATAAATAAATAAAAACTACAAGTAAAAACAAGTATTTTAAATTAAGACTCTTCAATTCTAAAGGTGCGGACGTGTTATACGGCATCAGATTAAATTTATGAAAGCATCCCTAGTTACCGGACTGCCTATAACTAAAAACGATGCTATGACAATATGCATTATTATAAATTGCGTAATCACTGGTGGTAGGACCTCTTGGGAGTCCGCACGGGTAGGTACCACCACCCCGCCTATTTTCGCCGTGAAGCAGTAATGCGTTTCGGTTCGAAGGGTGGGGGTAGCCGTTGTAACTATACTGAGACCTTAGAACTTAAATCTCGAGGTGGGTGGCGCATTTACGTTGTAGATGTCTATGGGCTCCAGTAACCACTTAACATCAGGTGGGCTGTGAGCTCGTCCATCCATCTAAGCAATAAAAAAAAATGTGTAATGCAATTGAAACAAATACTCACGGCTGCATTTATTAAATAAAACAACAAAATTAGTGTCCAAACGCAATGGAAAACATATAAAGGCATTTTCCGATAAAAACTATTATTCGTCATAACAAGAAATGTAAAATTTATTTTTGCGACATTTTATCGATAATGTTTATATGGAAATTTATGAAAAACGAATTGAACTTGAACAAGTTTCATATACTTTGAATATTATCAGCATTTCGTTTTGTCAAGTTTATTTTTATGCTTTGGATTTAGAATAGTTTTTTTGCTGTTGATATTTCGAAATTATATAATACTTATCGTGCCTTATATGGCAATACCAGAGAATATTTGTTTAGTTTTTACCATAAAAGAAAGAAAATCGAAAATCCTCTAGAGGTTTTGTCAGATTTATGTGATGCGTTACTTTATAGCGTTTTAATATTAATATATTAATACGTGAAGCAAAAACTTTGTATCCCTTTTTACGAAAATTGCGCGGACGGAGGAGTATGAAATTTTCCACACTTATAGAGAATATAGAGAAGAAGTGCACAATGCTAATATTTTTGTTAAATAATGCATAAAAGATTATTTCATTACATTAAACATTAAATCAATAAAGAAAACATTACACACACTACATACCATGTAGGTATTTGATGCACACACGCATGCATACTATTTATTGTCAAACTTTTGTTCCTGACGTCTGTTGTCAAATTGAGAATAGATTAAATATTGTTTGTCTTTGTTAATATTTTTTATAGTGTAGTCTTGGCGAAATTTGTGATTATAGAAGAATAAAATACAATCATAATAGGGTAAAAACTTACAATTTCAATTAATTATAGTCGAATTTCGACTACTGCGGGACCTCTAGTATTAAATTTTTCATTGAACTCATTCGTTTCTTAACATCACATTAGTTTGTATCATTTTTATAATTAAGATTGAACATACAAGATTTTATATCTGGAATGTAAACTAATCTATAAAAATGAATTGCTGTTCGTTAGTCTCGCTAAAACTCGAGAACGGCTGGACCGATTTGGCTAATTTTGATTTTGAATTATTTGTGGATGTCCAGAGAAGGTTTAAAAGGTAGATTGATATTAAAATGCTGGGAATGAAATAAAAATAACAATTTTGTTTTTCCTGTGATTCCTTTTGTTTGTTTTAAGTTTATTTGATACAAAAGCTTAGGTCTTCTGTTTATCGATTGAGGCACTACGAACTCTGCTGGGTCAGCTAGTCTAACATAAAAATGTATTCTCTATGTCTTTTCCCTACCAAATTGTTGGTAGCCTAAGGGGTTATTCCAACTGCTCACGGACCAGTAGGTGAGCTCATGGGCTCAACCAGAGAGAACCTGCTAAAACTGGCCTGTATTCCCAAAAAGCTATTAATAGACGGCTGATGTACGAAAAAGGGTGCTTTTAGGTACCACAGGCACCGGTCACCGTCCTTCGACGAGTGAATTAACCCATAGACACAGCCCACTGAGTTTCTCGCCGGATCTTCTCAGTGGGTCACGTTTCCGATCCGGTGGTAGATTCTGCGAAGCACTGCTCTTACTAGGGCCAGTGTTAGCAACACACCCGGTTTGAGCCGCGTGAGCTCACCTACACGTCAAGGAGACGCTGATATAGCCTCTCAAGGCTTGTATAGGTAGGAATAAATGAAATTAAAGAAAATGCCCAAAAAGAGTACAGTTTTTTCTCTCCGCTGTTTCAAATAAACATAATACACTATTGACTTGTACGCTATTATTAACTAAGCGACTTTATGTTACATCGGATCGTAAATTGTAAATATCAAATCATCGTATTATCAGCGGAACTTAATTAGAAAAACTTCATAAAACTGTAAGGTACCTGATGTCGTCATGGCGTATTGATATCGAATCGCGATACTGGGTACTCGCTATGAATTCAATTTTATGTTATGTTTTATTGTTTTTAACTCTGGTCAACGCTTTGCCGCAGGTAAATTGTTTTTTTGGTAATTTTGTTATGCGTGTTATTGAAAATACATTCAGATACCTTCAAAACGAAACGCACTACTGCTTCACGGCAAAAAAGGCAGGCCGGGTGGACTTGTCCGTGCGAACTTGCAAGATACCGTATCACCGGTCATTAAGCAAATTATATTTTTTGCGTTATTGA